AAATTCAAGACCATATCATCCTTAATCAATTCTCAAACTTAATTGCAACATATATGATACCACTGTCAATCCAACAATCGCCTCACATGGCTTGAAAAAAAATCCACTCACCATTCCATCTCTTTAAATTTCAAACAATAAGAAAAACGTAATGACTAGAAATACTATAGGCTTGTAAACTCATTGGGTACACAATCAAGATTGGAAAGCCATATGAAAGTCACGTTTGACTGCTCTTGGTAATATCCTCTGCAATTTCAACCATTTAACATTTTCGCCGAAAAGAATTCATACTAAATTATGCAAAAAATCAAATGTTATCCTATAAGTGGCATAAAAATAATCTTCAGTTCTTAAAAACAAGCCAAACTTAGCCGAAGAAACAAGAAATTGCAAGCAAAAAGTACAATATGCCTGAGCCTAAAATGTGAGAAAAATTCTTCAAAAATGTCATTGAATTAACAATTTTCTCAATTCCAAACACATAAGCATTTTTAATGACCTATATTAGTACCATGTGACACAATTATAACGAGGGAATTCAGCATATATGCATTTCCCAATTATAGAAAAATCGAAAAAAAATATTAAGAATTAGAAAATGTAAAATGTTGAATAAAATTGAAAATTCTTACCTCAAGTATGTAGAGTGATGCTAGAGGATGATAATGGTACAAAAATGATGAAGAAAACAATCCAAATTCGTCCTCAAATTTTAGAATTGCAGTTCGGCCCTATTTCTCGTTTTGAAGATCAAAACCCACCAAATTGATATTTTTGCTTCGAAATTGTTGAGGGTTTATGTTCACAAGAGTCTTTGGAATGTTTTTGTGGTGAAAGATTAGCGGATTAATGGACAAAATGGGAGATTAGAGAAGAGGGTTTAGGTTTTCGGTGAAATAGTAATAGGAGAATTGGAAAATTGCATAACCGAAGCCTCGGTTCTGCCTATTTCGCTAACCGATCCGAGGTTGGATCGGTTCTCGAATCCCTTGGATCCGATAGGGCTCGGATCAGCTACTCCAGAAGTTCAGCCAAGCCCTCGGATCCAACTGGATTTTGTTGGATCCGAGCTCGGATTAGCACAATTTTGCACTAATTGCAGAAACTGCAATTTTTTAAAACTTTTTCTCCCTTTTTCCGCTAATTCCAAATTACACATAGGACAAACTTTTTATCAAATCCAACTTCCCACGCAAGTGTAATAAACCATAAACACAATATCCAACCTCTCAAAATACATCAAACACCTCCACAATGCAAATCGAGGGGCGAGGTTCTTTGATTATTTTTGCACTTTTACACCAAAATGGCACCTTTGGGCATGAAATGCACATCAAATGAATCCATGAGCATTTTATAAACATGTTAGCACCGAAACTCATTTGAATAAACTGAAAATGCAAACTGTATATATGAATGGGAATTCTAAACACTTAAAGCACAATTTGGTAAGAAACCTCCCTTTTTACACTTGTTCTTCAAATGCACCTCCAAGATGGATGTTGAAACTTCGGTACCTCCTACAAACAAGTAACATACATCTAATTAGTCAATTAAACCACACCAAAATTTAAGAAACACTTAAAATACACAACTACAATATTATTATTGGGTTGTCTCCCAACAAGCGCTTTGTTTAAAGTCGTTAAACTCGACTTTCTTGCAACTTCTTTAACTCTCCATTGTATTTCCTAAGGAGTAAATCACTCCTTTAAGAAATCTCTCTCCGACCAAATAAGGCTTCAATCTTTGACCATTCACTTTGAATGGAGCATCATTTTTCCCTTTTATTTCCACTGCTCCATAAGGAAACGTGCAAACCACTTCAAATGGCTCGGACCATTGAGACTTAAGCTTTCCTGGAAATAATTTAAGTTTTGAGTTAAACAATAACACCTTCTGCCCTTCTTCAAAATGTTTAGAAAGAATATGTTTGTCATCCCAGAATTTTACTTTTTTTTTGTAAATCTTGGCATTCTCATACGAGGTCAATCGCAATTCTTCCAATTCACTCAACTCGAGCATTCTCTTTTCACCTGCCGATTTAAAATCAAAATTAATAGCCTTAATAGCCCAATAAGCTCTATGTTCTATTTCTACAGGTAAATGACACACTTTCTCATAAACAAGTTTATATGAAGACATTCCCAACGGCGTTTTAAATGCCGTTCTATACGCCCACAAAGCATTTTCAAGCTTATTTGACCAATCCTTTCTCGATCGGTTGACAGTTTTCTCCAAAATAATTTTGATTTCCCGGTTGGCCAACTCCGCTTGACCATTGGCTTGAGGATGATAGGAAAGTGACTTTTTATGCTTGCATCCATATTTAAGCAACAAAGTGTCAATAATTTTATTGCAAAAAATGCTTACCTTCATCGCTTATTATTGCCTTTGGGATTTCAAACCTACAAAATATATTCCGTTTAAGGAACTTAAGCACAACTTTAGCATCATTAGTTTGTGAAGAAATGGCCTCCACCCATTTAGAAACATAATCAACTGCTAAAATGATGTACTTATTATTATATGAGTTAGGAAATTGTCCCATAAAATCAATGCCCCAAACGTCAAATAACTCAACTTCTAAATATGTAGTTAGAGGCATTTCATTCTTTCTTGAGATATTGCCAGTTCTTTGGTATTGATCACAGCTTTTAACTCAATTTCTAATATCTCGGTACATAGTAGGCCAATAAAATTTTGATTGCCAAATCTTTGCTACCATTTTAGTTGTATTAAAATGACCTCCCATTTCAAGGGTATGACAATGCATTAAAATATTATGTACCTCTTCTTCCGGAACACATCTTCTAATTATTCAATCTGTACAATGTTTGTAAAAGAACGGTTCTTCCCAAAAATAATGTTTAGCATCATTTAAGAATTTTTTCCTTTGATGAGAATTCAAATCACTTGGTATCACTCCACTAACTACAAAGTTAACTAGATCAGCATATCATGGTGACTTAAAAATTGCCATTAAAAACTCATCTGAAAATTCTTCTTTAATAGATGAATGATCTTCTTGAGGCATGTTCTCCAGTCTAGAAAGATGATCAGCGACTAAGTTCTCGGATCCTTTTTTATTTTTGATCTCCAAATCAAATTCCTGCAATAATAAAATCCATCGAATTAGTTGAGGTTTTGCATCTTTCTTATTTAAGAGATATTTGAGTGCTGCATGGTCGGTATAAATGATAACTTTAGACCCTACTAAGTACGATGTAAACTTATCCAATGCAAAAATCACTGCTAGCAACTCATTCTCTATTGTTGCATAGTTGACTTGGGTTTTATTTAGTATTTTACTTGCATAATAAATGAAATGAAATCGCTTATCATTTTTTTGCCCAAGAACAGCTCCAATTGCAAAATCACTCGCATCACATATTAATTCGAATGGTAAGCTCCAATTCGGTGATGCTATTATAGATGCGGAGACAAGTTTCTTCTTCAACCTATTGAAAGCAAATAAGCACTCATCATTAAAGTAAAAAAGAACATCTTTTGTAAGTAATTCACATAAAGGTTTAGCAATCTTGGAGAAATTCTTAATAAATCGCCGATAAAATTCCACATGTCCAAAAAAGTTTCGAATGCCTTTCACATTGGTAGGTGGAGACATTCTCTCAATAACCACTATCTTGGCTTGATCTACCTCAATACCTTGTGAAGAAATTTTGTGGCCTAAAGCAATACCCTCACAAGCCATGAAGTGACATTTTTTCCAATTGAGTACAAGGTTTGTTTCTTCACTTCTCTGCAAAATTAGATCTAAATTGTTAAGACAATGATCATAAGTAGATCCAAATACAGAAAAATCATCCATGAAGATTTCCATGATTTTCTCATTAAAATCAGAGAAAATTGCCATCATGCAACTTTGGAAGGTGGTCGGTGCATTGCATAGTCCAAAAGACATTTTTCGAAATGCAAAAGTGCCGTAAGGACAAGTGAATGTGGTTTTCTCTTGATCTTCCGGTGCGATGGCTATTTGATTGTATCCTGAAAAATTATCCAAGAAACAATAAAATTCATATCCGGCCAATTTTTCTACCATTTGATCAAGAAAAGGAAGAGGAAACTGATCCTTTCTTGTGGCTGTATTCAGTTTTCTATAATCTATACAAACTCGCCACCCAACCACAACTCTAAAGAGAATCATTTCATCATTTTTACCACGTACTATGGTTATCCCCCCTTTCTTTGGCATTACATGAATAGGAGAAATCTAAATACTATCAGAAATTAAAAAAATTATACCTGCATCCAGCCATTTAAGAATCTCTACTCTTATCACTTCTTTCATGTTTGGATTTAACTTTCTTTGAGTTTCAACCACCGGCTTAGAATTTTTTTCTAACAAAATTCGATGCATACAAATAGTTGGACTAATTCCCTTGATATCAGAAATCCTCCATCTTATAGCCTTTAAATGCTTCCTCAAACACGTAAGAGCTTGCCTAGTTGTTCCTCATCTAGTGCAGGATTTACAATTACCAGCAATGTTTCTTTTTTCCAAGAAATGCATATTTGAGGTGTTTACGTAGTGGTTTAACCTCAAGCCGTGGAGCTTACTCACACGATGGTGGAAGTAATCCTTTGTTCAGTCCTAACTCCTCATACGCATTTCTCCTTTTGTAAGGAATTTGTGCCTGCAAAAATTCAGTCATTTCTTCAACTTGTTCCTCTTGTAAGCCTACACTATTAAGACAAAATTCAAGAGAATCATCATCAAGATTAACTTGACTCATCTCTAATGCTAATTCATCACATATGTCAACAGAATAAACATGGTCGGTAAAAAAGGGATACTTCTCCACTTTACTCCAATCAAACTCCACTTCCTCTTCACCAATTTGGAACTTGAACTTATCACGTTTAACATCTATTATTGTACCTGCGGTGGCCAGAAATGGTCTACAAAGTATAATAGATACATTGACATCCTCGTCCATATTTAAAACAACAAAATCAACATGAATAATTAATTTTTATACTTTAATGAGCACATTCTCCAATATGCCTATTAGATGTCTAATAGATCTGTCAGCCAATTGCAAGGAAATGCTAGTACGTTTTAACTCTTTCAACCCCAATTGCCTAGCCGCAGTTAAAGGTATCAATGAAACACTCATACCAAGGTCACAAAGTGCTTTAGAGAATTCAACATTACCAATAGTGCAAGGAACTGTGAAACTCCCTGGATCTTTCAACTTTGGTGGCAATTTATTTTGTATAATGACACTACATTCTTCCGTTAATGTAATTGTCTCATTATCTACTAATTTCCTTTTTTTAGTCATTATATCCTTGAGAAATTTTGCATATGAAGGAATCTGCAAAATAGTATCAACAAAAGGAATGTTAATATGTAATTGTTTGAAAATGTTGACAAACTTCTCAAATTCTTTGTCATTTCTCGAAGGTTTCAATCTTTGAGAAAATGGCAACGCTGAAGGAATTGGTGTTGTATCTGCAATTCGTGACTCATTTTCTTTCACCTTTTCTTTCCCTTTAATTTTCTTACTATCCTCTCCTAACTCACTCAACTGTTTGTTTTCTCTTCTTTCACATTCTCTCTCACTTTCAACTACAGGCGGCTCACCTACTTCCTTACCACTACGGAGGGTAATAGCCTTCACATGCTCCCTTGGGTTCACCTCAATCTTATTAGGTAAATTCCCTTGGTTGCGATTATTAACTGCATTTGCTATTTGGCCTAATTGGACCTCAACATTCTTGTACATATTAGTGAGTTGGTCTATCCTTCCCTCAATTCTCTCAAACCATTGAATAGTGGCACTGGCTAACTTTTCAATTTTATCATTTGATACATTTGCCAATTTCTTAATTGCCAATTCCTAAGTCGGTTTGGATTCCAGAAGTGGTTGCTTCGATTGAAAATTCGGTGGATTAATTGGCCTTTGTTGGTTTCCTTGATCCTTCTATCCAAAATTTGGGTGATTACGCCATCGTGGATTGTAGGTATTAGAGTATGGATTATTTTGGGGTAGACGGTTGTAATTGTTGAGATATTGAATCTGTTCGCTGCTAGAACACATAGAATCTTCATGATCTCCGTCGCAAGTAGTACAACATGCAACAACTACTCCTTGATTAGAACTAGAACCAACATGTCTATTAAGCAGCTTAACCACATTATCCATCTTTGCACTTAACATATTCAAGGTATCTACTTCAAGCATACCTGCGGTTCTCCTTGTATTACCTCGTTCGTTGGCCCATTGGTAATTGTTAGCAGCTATTTTTTCAATCAATTGTTGAGCTTCCTCGGCTGTCTTTCCCATCAATACTCCTCCCGCTGCCGCATCTACATGCGTCTTTGTTGGATAGGTGAGACCATTGTAAAATGTTCGGACTACTAGCCAATCTGGTAAACCATGATGAAGACATCTTCGTTGCAATTCCCGATAGCACTCCCAAGATTCGTACAATGTCTCTCTTTTCTGTTGAGAGAAACTAGTTATATTCATTCTAAACTTAGCAGTTTTTTCAGGTGGAAAGAATTTATTAAGAAAAGCCTTAGTTAATTCAGCCCAAGTAGTACAAGTGTTTGGAGGATGAGATTGTAACCAAACCTTGGCTTTGTTCCTTAGCGAAAATGAAAACAATCGAAGTTTAATTGCATCATCAATAACACCATTAAACTTAATTGTATCACAAATTTCAAGAAATGTTGACAAATGAGAATTTGGATTTTCGATAGCATTACCTCCATATTGAGATTGTTGTACCATTTGAATCAATGATGGTTTAATTTCAAAATTATTAGCATTTACCATTGGTCTTGCGATACTAGTTTGAGATCCTTGTGTACCTGGTAAAGCAAAATCTCGTAGAATTCGCCTATTTGGTTCATTTTCTGCCATTTCTTTCTCAAATGGTAATTCTATCAAGATTTCTTCTACCGGCTGCCAAACCTTTTGTTCCTCTTGATGCGGTGTATTCCTCCTTTGTCTCCGAAGTGTCCTCTCAATTTCTGGATCGAAAAGTACAATTTCTGGATTTGATCGGTGCATACACTACAAATAAAAAAAAAGAGAAACTTTTTAGTTTTAATTGTTATAATCAATTATAAACAACTTGAATAAAAACAATTGAAATGTCTAAATTAATAGAGATGATTAGGCTCTACTATTGCCGTTCCCCGGTAACGGCGCCAAAAACTTGACTGGATTTTTATATCAATACAAGTTTAAATCCAATTTTATACCCGTAAAACTGCAAGTATACAGGCCAAAATTGTAATGTAAGATATGTATCGGGTCGATCCCACAAGGAGCAAATTAACCAATTACTAGGTCCTTGTTTTCTCTATTATTTAGACTTATGAATAAATTTGAGCAGAGAAAATATATTGCTATTGTCTATAAATCTGATCTACAAATTTAATTTAACAAATGCTAAATGCAATTGGAGAAATTTTACTCAAGGATGAATCTAGGGATATAGATTCCACTTATGGCATAAACAATATAAATGAACAAATTTACCTCTTGTTATTATTCTTGTTTAACCAGGGATTCATTTCCAATTATACCAAGTTTCATTTTCATGATAAAATGGCCTAAAGCAGTCTAGTTTTCCCTATTTTCATGGTGAAATACTAGTTCTACTCTGTTTTCCTTCATGAAATGCTAGATAATCCACTTAAGTGTATCTTTATTTTCATGAATATACAACTCAAGCTCTACTCATGTTTTTCCATTATTACTACCAATTCTCATTGAATAATAACAACTATAAATATACTATTGGTGATCAAACAATAATAAGCAATTACAACAACACAAATAGACAAATCAATACAAGATACAACAAGTATAAATCACTTTCAATTCATATCATTTAGCCATAAGTTTCATCTACTCCCTAGATAAAGAAGTTTAGTTACTCATGAATGATATAACAATCAAACTCACAAGTTTATTCATGCAAAATATCATAAAGTACAAGTACAAGAAAGATAAAAGAAAGCTTAGCCAATTGATGGTGAAACCCTCAAATTTCTGCTATGTTCTTGTACAAAATGATGACAAGTGAAAACTCCAAATGCTTTCCCAAGAACTCCTAACTAGAGAGCAACCTGTTGCAAGAAGAAAAACTAGCTACGTATGCTCTGCCCTGGTTTCTCCCTTGAGTTTCTGCATAAAAGGTGGTAGAAAGGTACCTGTTTTTCTTCTTCATGATTTTAATAACTCAGATTTTGTAAAGGAAGTCAAAAGATATGTTGTTTTGACTTGTCAATAACTCATTTTGTCTTCCTTTTATTGCAGAAGTATGTGCCACCGAATTCTCTCTCCCAAGATAGCTGAAAAATTGTGTAAAAGGTGAGAAAAATGGTTGTGCTACTTGTAGAAGAGTGAGGCAGATCTGAATCTCAGATCCGAGGGGTGGAGAAAGATCCGAGCTTGGATCAAGATTGATCCGAGGCCTTTCTCTTATAGATCCGAGGTCGAATCGTTTGACCTTGGATGCACTCTCCAGAAATACAGACGAGGGCTCAGATCTCCATCTGTTCACATAGATCCGAGCTGGTTAATTTTCAGTTTTTTACTTCTTTTCCTTTTTCTGCATTTTTGCTCCTAGTATCCTTGTACTTTAACCTCCAGATGATCCTTACATTTTTTCCGTCATCTCATGCATGAATTACATATATCAATATCCTTCACATTTTCACAAAATTAATAGTTAATCCACTCATTTATCAAATTTTGAATACTTAAACAATATTTAAGCAATTATCAGCAAAAGAGTTCAAATATGGCTTTAATCTTCTCAAAACATACCAAAAATTCATGCCAAACGTGTACAAAATGTATGTTAAATATTCACTTATCAGAATGCATCCTCAATTAGTGTATGATATCTTGGTTAACTACAAAACATTTTTACTAGAAATGGCAACATTTTTTTTACTAGAAATTTTCTTTAGTCTAGTTCCTTGCCTCCATTTTTTATCAAGAGAAAATTTGTTCAAAATGGCTTACAAAAGTTGACCAAGTCAAAACTTCATTCCTTCTTGTTTCTTCCTTTTAACTTAACCGAGAGAGAGAGAGAGTTGAGAGAAACCTTCATTCTTTCGTCCCGACAAACAGGCGAGAGAGAGAGTTAGAAAGAAATCCATTTCCTTTTCCTCCTTTGCTTTCTAAAAACCAATGGAAAACCACAAGATTTAACCATGGACCTTGCTTCATTTTTCAACCATTAACATCAGCCAAGAAACAAAGAAAATTAGCCAAAGTCTTCCTCTTGTTTTGCTCCACTTCAGCCGAGAGAGAGAAAAGAGTTGAGAGCAAGAAAACTCCATCTTCTTCTTCCTATCATCAGTTGAGCACCAAGGATGATTTAGCCATAGAAATTTCACAAAAATTTCCCTATTTCTTCAGGCTTAAATCGTGAGTGAGAGAGTCTGTGACGCCCCACATCTCCCTAAGGCGGACCAAAGGGTATCCGCGGACGCCTGCCCAGCTCTCGCCAGGACTCAAGCAATACCATTCAATTTAAAACCGAACTAAACATTTCGCAGAGCGTAACATGAATACAATAATGCGGAAGCGTTCAAGCTTAACAAGTCACTTAACATGTAACCATTACATCGGTAACCATAATACGACTTAAATTCAAAATACACGTCAGGGCCCAAACTTTTCAAATTTACAATTTCCAAAAGTACAACCCAAACCAGGGCCTAATCAAAATATATCAGGAGTCTTAACAAAAGTACAACGAATGGTTTCTCCATACTTCTTCAAGATTCGGTCCTGTTAAGGAAAACAACACTATAGGGTGAGCTAAACGCTCGTGAGGTCAAGAACACACATGCAAGCACATTGTTCAAATAGCAATCCCAAATTTAATAAATAAAACCATGTCCCTTCAATAATCAATCATTCGAACAGGAAAAGTAATCAGAAACAATTCAAGGATATAGTAGCTCTCAGGAGCTAAGTTCCACTCGCTCTGCCGATGTCATTCGTATACCTTCCCGCGTTGACCCTCCTGTCAACCGGGTCGGTATTTCCATTTCCGTAGATCACCACTTACTTCCCTCCGTCCACCGTACACCACAAGGGCCCACAAGTCATTTATAAGGCGATACTCCACGAGTATGCCAAGCAAGACCTCTCATTAGGTCGAGCTTATATATATCTCATGGCTCGCTCCAGTCCCCGACCAAGCCCATTGCCGGCTCGAGTCCAAGGTCGGCCTATGAGTTTGGGCGTCCCCCATTCATTTGAAAGTCGAGGAGGTTCACTCCAACGACATATGTAATCATAACATAACATTGCATTTCATTCATTCATTCAATACATTTCATTCATTCAATACATTTCAATCATTCAGTTGAAATTAGAACGAGTGCGATAAAGTACGCACCCGTCCTTATTTTTTTAAACTTCCAACAATTACCACAAATAAGCAAGTATCAAAGATTCACACACTTGACACTCACCGAGCAATTCAATAAGAATTATTTTTTGGGAGTTCAAGTGTCCACAGTAAGATCCTCTGGAATGTCTCCTTGCGCGCCTGGCAATTAATAGCGGATAATCACACAAATAACCCACTTGTCAAGGAAGATTGTACTAAGGAATATTTCACAAAATGAACCTCAATTACTCGAAAATCGAGGTTCAACTTGCCTTTTATTATGTACAATATTATTTGAGTTTTTATCATGAAAATCGAGGGCAAAACGTTTGAATAATACAAAGAGAATTAAGAGTTTTGGAAAAACTCCTTTGCCTTGAAAATTGAGAAATTTCAGTTTTATGTTAAATCTTTGAAAAATCGTAACTCGCTCGGCATAAGTCGAGAATTGGAAAAATTTATACCGTTGGAAACCTCTTAGAAAGTGCTATAAGTTCCTAGAAGACACTTTTCCATGAATCAAAGTGGAAAGTGCTCAAAAATGAGCGTGAAGGGGCAGACTCAGTTTACAAGGTAGAATTAAGTTGGTTTTCGGCCAACTTTGAAAATTCGGCACGATTTACACGTTGCAAACCGGCCTCTGAAATTCGTAGCTCAATTAGAGTTACAAGTGAGGTGTATAGCAAAACAAGCGGATCAAGAATCGGAGTTTCGAGTACCGAGATACGGTAGCCCAAAGTTGGGGAAATTCAAGACTGGAGAAGAATTTCCAGATTTGAACCTCCAACACTAGAAATTTAATTGGGTATCGAAACAAACTTGGATTGGTACCAAAATTGGCAGTATTTTACTCCCATATGAAAGGTACCGCTCTATCAAATTTCAGGGAAAAATACCTTCGGAAAGATAGTTAATTAGTCAACCAAAATTCAGGAAAAATTCTAAGGCAATCTGCCTTTTGACTTTCATTTCCCAATTTCAAATCGTTTAACCAAGAAAACTATCCAACCATGGTTTGGTGAAATAAAGGTCTAAGATACATCCATGATACCTTTGGTAATGGTTTAGCATCAAAATTTCAATTAATAAGATCACTCCCAAGTTTTTG